ATATGTATATATATATATACACATATACATACGTATGTATATATATATATACATATATATGTATATATATACATACACACACACACATATATATATATATCCTGATAATAAACTTTTAATGAACTTTAGTTCACCATTAAATCTCTGATGAACCAGATTCTACAAAAACATGTATTTTTAAAATGTTATACGTTTTCTTCATCATTTCATGTATTTACACTCATTGTGTCTCCTTTTATTGTTCAGTTTAGATGTGATTTTGTTTCTTGTTCAGATTTTTTTTTATTTTCGCTTTGCTTCAAAGTTTAATTCTTGTTTAGTGGTTTGTACGTCTGTGGTTTTGAATAAAGTTGAACTAAAGGCTGAATCTCTTCTTTAAACGTGTTTCTTGAATCTTGTGTGATTCTTGTATGTTCCTTTGTACTGAAACTCTGGCACCATTTCCTGTGGGATCAATAAAGTTTTATCTTATCTAACTGTTGTAATGACATCACTGTTGCTGTGATTGTGTTAAATTAACTCCGCCATGAGCTTTTAGTGGTTTTGTTTTGATGCTACAGTTTATTAAAATTATAATTTATAATATATATCTAATATTTCCTGATGCTGCTCAATAATCCAGGTAGAAAAATCTAAAAAAAAATTCAATCTGGTCCTCTGGACATTCAAAAAACAAAAACAAAATGTAGAAACGTTTCGTCTCTCATCCTGAGTACTTCTTCAGTCTGAGGAGCTGTATTCAGCTCAGTCTCTTAAATAGCACCTTCTCAGAGTGGATCAACCAGTTTGCTGCTGACAACCAGAACCAGCTGATCACATGCTCAAGAAGGACCATCAGCCTAACAATGGATCATTAGCACCTGATGGCTGTTTACTGTTCACAGAGGGCTGAGTGATACTAGCAATCACAGCATTGTAAGAGGGGGACAGTTGAACCTGGAGGCTCCGCCCCTGTTTAATGATGGACGGTTTCTTTTCACAAAGATGGCCTCCTTTACTCCTCTCTCAAACCATCGTTCCTCTCTGTCCAGGATGTGAACATCTTCATCCCTGAAAGAGTGACCTCTGACCTGGAGATGAGTGTAGACCTCAGAGTCCTGGTCTGATGATGTTGATCTTCTGTGCTGGTCCATCCTTTGATAGATATTATCCTTATATATAATATTATAATTTTATTGATGTCAAGTTTGGATTTTTACTCTTAAAATGAATTAAGAACAGATCTTTTCAAAGCTTTTTTTATTTGTGGATAAAGTGTCCACCCGTTTATGTGATGTAGGGTGGTGTAACCACACCTCCTCCACCATGACTTGGGTGGACAGGGGACAGCTTCCCACCGTCCTGCACCTTCAAGTGGGTAAAGGCAGACCACCTCCCTTCAACCTGACCCCCCCAACATCAGGCAGACCACCTCCCTTCAACCTGACCCCCCCACCATCAGGCAGACCACCTCCCTTCAACCTGCCCCCCAACATCAGGCAGACCACCTCCCTTCAACCTGCCCCCCACCATCAGGCAGG